TGTCTCTGCCTTATCGCCCAGCCACCTGGTTTCCCCACCTGGACAGAGCAGAGTCATCAGCCTCTTTAGTCCTCTTCCTGAGATAGTCTGTGCCTTTATAAACATATTCATGTATGTGAATGTGTATTATATTTTCAGAAAACTAAGTGTTCCATATTCTATCTGCTATTACATCCTTTGCTTTTTCCTCTTAATGATATATCTTAGAGAAATTCTCCACCCTTACATACGGAGATGCCTCATTAAAAACAGACTAACAGAAAAAAAGAACAGTGGCAGTTGCAGCTTTCCATTGCATGGAAGGACCATGATGTATTTAATTGATGCTGTATTTATGGACATGTCACCTAAAGGCATTTATCTCAAAACTTTTCACATATAATTTTGGTTTCTACTCTACAACTTACCTGGGTAATGAGTTTGTCACATTGAATCTTTCCTTACATAACCAACCCCTGAAGGAAGAATCTAGTTAAAATACACACACACACACACACACACACACACACACACACACACATTTACATAATTCTGGTAACTGTTTTCATTGCTGTTTGTAAAAACCTGCAACATTCCTACCATTGCTGTTCCTTTTCCAATCTCTGATTTGGGGGCCTGCTAGAATAGAGTCAGTACTGTTTGCTTATACAATGAAGGCCAAGTGACTGTAGAAATAGAATCTAGGTTTGGTTCTGTCACCCCAGCCTCAACCTGCTCTATGACCCTGAACTTTTTCTTCCCATCTCTGGTCCTCTGTTTCCTCAATTGTAAAACAAGGAGATAGGACTAGATCAATGGTCAGTAAACTTCCTCTAAGGGCTACACAGTAAATATTAACTTGAAAGACAATATAGTCACTATCACAATTACCCAAGTCTGCTGTTGTTACATGAAAACAGCCACGGACTGTGTGTAAGTGAATGAGCATGGCTGTGTTCCAATAAAACTTTATTTACAAAAATAGGAAGTGGGTAAAATTTGACTGACCCTGGGACTAAGAGCATATCCATCTCTTAGTTTCTATAAATCTGTGAAGAGCTTTCCTTTGCTACTTAGGGCAAGGAAAGGGACAAACATCCACCTAGTGCCCTCATTGCCAGGCACTCACTGGGGGCCGTAAGGCACTTGGAATCCTCATAGCACTTCAGTCAGGTAGGCGATATGGGAAAACTGAAACTCAGACAGGTTGTGTACTTTCCTCACTCTCTTCCTTTTGAGCCCATTTTCTTAAGTCTCAATGCTTTTTTATGTGGGATTAGAAAAGATTCTTAACAATGCCAACCTCCTGTGGTCGTTACAAAGATGGAAAGAGGAAGTCCCTTAGAGCAGCCCTGGCAGAGGGAACAGAACATTTGGAGTGCTGGGGAACAGAGGGAAGGCAGGGTGGCTGGGGGCCAGTGATGGGGGCAGGGCAGGGGAGGGAGAGTGGTAGAAGGTGAGGTCACGAAGAGCCATGGCACAATCCAGTGAAAGTGTTCAAAGAATCATTTTGGCTCCTGGGTGGAGAATCAAGCCCAGGCTTTGTCTTTACAGAATTTTGTGTTTTACATGAAGGTGATCCATTCATTCATCTATAAAAAGGGTGGATGGAAAGTGCTTTCCACGATTATAAAGCTTGATTGTGAGTGGACATAGACAGGTGAAGAGGCAACATGGAAATCAAAAGAGACCTAGATTTGCCAACACAGGAACTTGGTTTTGTGACCTTGGGCATTCACACAGACTCTCTCGCTTCAAGTTCCTCATCTGCCAAATGGGACTGCTTACCCTCCTCACTGCATTTCTGGGTTGCTGTAAAAGTCTGGTTGGATCTTCTTTGTGGGAGTTCTCTACAAATGTGAAGTAGGAGTTAATATTGTGTTTTTATTATTGTTATTATCACCATTGGCTTATCTTCTGCTCCTGGGCTTGCTCCTCAGGGCTGTGAATGTATTGGAAGAGGGGGATGACCCTCCTTTACTTCTCTTTGTGTTAAAGTTGATTGCTTTGGGCCTGGGACATTATAGATCCTTTGAAGACAAGATAGGCCATTTTTTTTCCTCAGTGACCTGGGAGCTATTTCCCTGAAATGTAAGGGGCAATCTGACACAATGGAGGGAGCACCGAGCAGGAGGTCAGATGGTCTGGTTTGCAGCTTTAGGCTTTAGAACCTTAAACGGCTTTGTTATCTCCAACAGAGTCTGTGGCCTGGACCTCAGACCACACTGACTTCCTTCCCTCCTCCAGAAGCCTTCCCCCAAACCTCCTCTACCCCCAAGGCTGGGCTAGGAGAACATCTGGAATTACACACCTATTACACATAACCTATTTTCTTGTCACATGTCAGACTTGGAGCCAGCTAAGACCAAGATCAGGTTCTCTTGGTAGTTGTCTGGTGTGTGGCATAGAGTGACAATTGTATCATAATACATGTGTGAGCATAGTTCTCCCCATTGGCAAAGTATGAACTAGCCTTGTACATGACTTATTGGTGTTGTTGAAGTATTGATAGTAGTATCCTCTTTTGGTGGAAAAGAAACAGGCCCAAAAAAAAAGCAAAAGAAAAAGAAGCCATGTGCCTATTTTCACAAGGCCAGAGTTGGCTGAGCTGGGAATCAAGCTTAGGTTTCTAAGAGCCATGACATTTCACTGTTACATCCACACCCACCTGAGCTGTGCTCCGTAACCTGGTTTTCCCTCCTTGAATCTCATTTTCTTTAGTCTCCTCAGAGCTGCTTATTGTCTGTTGGCCACTCTCATCCACCCTTCTTGGCCCTTCCTGTACCCTTCAAGGCTGACCTCTGGGCATACTTGCCCTCTGGGAGCAAAATGGCCCCAGAGGCTCCTCCCCCTTCCTCCTTTCTCCCTGCTGCTTTGGCAGACTGCTGGCTTTACTCAGACAGCAGCTCCTCCAGGCAGGCCCCTTCCTTCATGTGTTAGGTCCTTTGGGTTTCTCTAAATCTCTCCCCTCCTTTTGCCCCTTAATGCCAAGGTTTGGTGACCTGCCTCTCTCTGTTGCTGTTCCTCAGGATGCTGCCAGCCCTGGAGGTTTCCTTTAATCTGTCTGCATCTCAGCAAATAGACCCTTCTTTGAACCCATTTTCAGTTCTTTAAACATTCTTCTTTAAACTCTCTTCTTTGAATGGGCCAGCTGTTTCTTTTTAGGACCCCAATTGCTGCATGTGCCCCAGCCTCACCCCCATTTCCCTTTGTCTTTCTTCTGATGCATCAAGAAGTTACATCTACTGGCCAAACCACAGCTCCAAATGTTCCTACACATCCACTCTTCAGGGAGATTGCTTTAACTAAAACAGGGTGCTGTTTTAGACTTTTCATCCCTTGAGTACCTCCAGTGGGGCAGGCACTTAGACTGGTGTTCCTCATGAGCTTCTTGTCTAGAGACAGCTCCCATCTCACACTTTTTTCCTGACTGGGCAAGTCACTGGGCCCCTCTGCACTGGGCTGGTGTTCCATCTAATTGTCTTCCAGATCAACATAAGTGTTCTCTGGCATCTATGACAACATAGACATCGTTTTGAGCAGAGGGAGTGTTTCCTTTTAGAAGGCAGGAGAGTATAGGTTATTGGAGTCACTCAACTCCTCGTCAAGAACAACTGACTCTTTCTGGCTAAAGATGTCAGAGTCCCAGAGCATCAACTGGATGCTGCAATTTGGCTTCCCAGGAAGCAGCACCATGCTGATCTTGGGGTCACAGCCTGAGCTCTCATGCCCTGCAGTGCTCCTCTGACATAAACAGTATTTCCAGTGGCCTGTATCTTTCTACATTTTGTGAATAATGGCATGTGGCCTGGGAGGCAGCTGCCTGAATCACACACAGTCTGTTTGCCGACCCTGATTGGGTGTGAGAGTTACACATTGGCCTCAACTTGCTGTCCGTGTCTCTACTCTGAAGTTGGCCAGCACTGCTTGGAAGCCAGGTTTCCAAGTAAACCGACTGAAAAGCCTGTTTACTCCAATGGAATGTAATACTTTGGACTGAAATTAAATCAGTCATCAACAGATTATGCAAGAGCATTTTTAAAAAGGGGTATTACTTGAAAGGCACAAAAGGCATATTCTTTAGGCTTTAAGGTGTTTGATGTTCCTAGTTCAGAATTGTAAGTTTTGACACCTGTATCCCTTCATCATTCTCCTTAGACCACATATATGTGTATACACACATATACACAGATGTATATATATTATATATGTATATCACACACATACATGCATATATGTATATACACACATACATGCATATATATACAAATAAATTTGTGTATTTATTTATTTATTTGACTAAGCTCCTCCCAACCCCACTTAACCCCCACCTCCAGCAAGACATGAATGATACACAATCTGGCAGGCAGTTCTTTCTGGAACATTGAAAAAGAGCTGTTCTAAACCCATGTAAGGGGGTTGATTAAATAAATAAATTATTGCACATAGATATATAGGTTTATAATACAACCATCTATATTCTCACACTGCTGTAAATTTATTAATAATTTCAATGATAACATATTAAGACACTTAAAATAATCCCATCCTATTAAAAAACATGAAATGATATACCCCCAAATGTTAACATTTTAAAGTGGTTACCTCTCTGGGGTTATGGGTAATGATAATTATCTTCTTTTCTTAATCTGTGCTTCCCAAATTTTTTCAATGATCATTTGTTAGTTATGTAATTTAAAGAGGGTTTTCTTTCTTTCTTTTTTTTTTTTTAAAGGAAAGGCACTTGCCCAACTTATCTGTGTACTACAATTATAATTATCTACAAGTATGCGGTTTGGTTGCCATATAAACATAAAAAGGGACAATTCATTCCATGGAAATATTGAGAACAAACACCAAATTGGGCCTCCCCACGCTCACAGTCTGCATTTCCTTTGCATGTTGAAGCCAGGAAGAAAAGGAGGGTGATGGATCAGGGAGCTCTGTCCAAGGTTGCATTAGCTTGCAGATGCCCGCAGAGGGTCCACTGATCCCCCAGGGCAGCTCAAAGTCCTGCTTACCTGGAACACACAGGCCTCTCCTTGGGCTCTGAGCTGGCCAACGAGCAGGTAGGTGGTGAGTCCTGCCAGGATGGGGAGTGACACCAGGCAACAGGTGAGAGCCCAGCGGGTGCTGCTGCTCCTGGCTCTGGCTTTAGGCTTGCAGCTGTCGTCCTCGGGCAGCATTTCCACGCTGGCTGTTTCCCCAAAGCCCAGCCCCAGATCCTCTCCCATGTTCCCACTGGTCTGGAGACAGATCTGACTCCCGGGTAGAGAGACCCCCCCATTAAATAGAAGACCAGCTCTCACAGTGGGTGAATTAATCACTGCCTACTCCTCCCCCTGGCCCCTCCTCCTCACCCCTCCACAACACACTGCACCCCGCCCTGCTAGGGAATGCACCGCCTACAACAGAAACCAAGTTTGGTTTAAGAAAAAAAAAAAGAAGAAGAAGAAAGCTTCCCAAACAAATTTATGTACAGAGTACTCATGTGCTCCTTCCTTCGTTTACAGAAGGAAGTCAGGAAAGTCCCTGGAGGAGGAGAAAAATAATTCATCAAGTCAGTGGGTGGGGCAAATTAAAATATACCTGCTTCTGCGGTTCAGGTTCAGCTGTGCCAGTCTGGAAAGTGTGCTTCTGCTGGAAGTGAAAGTAAGGGATGGGGAGGTGTGTGGTGTGGCTTGCAGACTGGGAAATGGAAATCAGGTTTGCATCACGACTGTGCAAAGTGCTGTCAAGTCCTCCATCTTTTTTGAGCCTCATAGCCCATCCCATTGCACAGATGAGAATACTGAAGTTCTGGAAGGTAAAGGCACATGGCCTAGGTCATGCAGGGATTAAGGCAGAGGATCTAGGAAGATGGTCTAGTTCTTCTAAGATATGTTTTGGGTTCTTGCTTCTACCACACACATGAAAGGAAAGTGTATTTCTAGCTTGTGTTGACCCATTAGCTAAGCAAAGAGTATGAGATCATAGAGGTGACCGTCTATGAGGAGAGGACATTGACTTCTACTCTCTGATCAGTCCAAAGCTGACTGAATGCCAGTAAAAGGCCTTGCCCACAGCTGGGTGTGTAAGGGGGACACAATGTGTAATAAAGGCTAACATTTATTAAACATTTGCTTTGTGCTAGTCACTGTTCTAAGTGGGTTCAATGTATCTAAATTACTCAAGGTTGAGATGACCTTGTGATGTGTTAATGTTTGTATTCCCATTTGACAGTTAAGGAAACTGAAGTAAGGAAACTGAAGTAAGCAGTAAAGCCTGGATTGGGACTTGAGCAGGTTGACTCCACAGCTCCTAGCCGTTGCACTGTACTGCACCTGCTGCTGTATGGTGCATGTACAGGGACACCTGCACCTGGGTCATCTCTTCCAGTTGGGGGATTGAGAGGCTTCCTGGAGAAACAGGTGGTGCTGGAATTAGACGTTGAATTGTAGGGAGGGTGATATCAGAGAAGAATAGGAGATCACTGCAAAAGATAGGTTACAGGAAGAGTAAGGCTTAAGGATGTTTTGTGGCAACCAGTCTGACTAGTGCTTCTGTTCAATTGCTTCTTTTCTTTATATCACAGCTAAATCCCTCTAGGCTATGTGGAAAGATCTTTTATACCCAGTCCCTGCCCACCATCACTCCTCCCCAATGTCCAGCTTCATCTCTTACTACTTTCCCAAGCTGCGATTCCCCTCAGGCACACTATGGACTAGCTGCTCTGTTGCACACACTGTTCCCTCCACTGTGAAAGCTTCCAGTCCTTTCCCTTCATATCACCATGCTCTCCTATTTTTTAAACTTCACATAAAAAACTTTCCTGTATCTTTCTACCTCCAAGTTTGGATGAGATGCTTATCTATGTTCTTCCCTTATCACACTTCATACTAGCCTATGATTGACTGTTTTCCCATCACTCCCATTAAACCATCAGCTCTAGGAGGGCAGGTCCTAGGTTATATACCTTCCCTGTTGCTGTAGCACCTAATAGAGACGATCACATAATGAACTCGTAATCAACATGTATTGAAATAAGCATCTAACATATTTTTTTAAAGATTTTATTTATTTGTTTTCAGAGAGGGAAGGGAGTGGGGAGAGAGGGAGAGAGAAACATCAATGTGTGGTTGCTGGGAGCCATGGCCTGCAACCTAGGCAAGTGCCCTGACTGGGAATCGAATCTGCGATGCTTGGTTCGCAGCCCGCGCTCAATCCACTGAGCTACGCCAGCCAGGGCACATCTAACATATTTTCAAAGAATCCCAGCAAAGAATGGCTTTTATGGCCCTTGGTTACCCATTTGTAGTTAACAAATCTAGTAAGAAACTTTTCCTTGAGACTAACCTAAGTCTTTGCTGTTGTAACTTTTAAATACATAATCGCACTTAATACCTAATCGTCCTAAAGGGATTTACAAATGCATTCTTACCTTTGTATTTCTTTTTAAGAAAATTTGTGTGGTTGATCAAACCAGGATCTTAAAAGTGGTAAATGTATGGGCTCAAATGAAGTGTTAGATATTATCATCCATGATATAAAAGGGCCTCGAAAGATGGTGAATACTAAAAACACCAGATTGGGGATCTGGAGACCTGGGTTTTAGATTCCATATTCTGTGAGCCTGAGAACTCTAGCAGATTGTCTCCCACTCTAATGTAACTGGCTACTGCCAAACATGATAACTAAGCTTGTTATAATTATGTTTAAAGTAAGTGTCAATGGATTCTGTGTTTGTGCCTGGGGAATATCCTTTGGGACGAGAATAAGAGTTTTAGGTCATGGACCTATAGACATATCTTTAAGATAATTGTAGATGTAGGTTTACATGTAGTTGTAAGTTTTCCACAAGGTAACATTTTGTATAAGTATAGTATAATGTCATAACCAAAACATTTTCAGATTCCATAACTTTTATTATATGCACTCATTTGTATATGTATGTCTTTAGTTCTGTGCAGTTAATCACATGTAGGTTCATGAGAGCATCACCACAGTCAAAATGACAGAAAAGCTCCCTCACAAGGATTCCTTATGCTATGTTTTGTAGTCAGTCACAGCTACCAGCCTCCATCTCCTCTTCCCTTAGCTCTTGGCAACCACTATTGCTCTTGAAATTGATAATTATGTTATTTTACAAATGTTATATAAATGGAATCATGCAGTCTGTAGCCTTTTGAGGTTGGATTTTTTCACTTGGCATGGGTTCAGTTGAGGTTTATCCAGATTATGACATGACTAATAGTTAATTTCTTTTGATTGCTGGTATGGATGTACCACAGTTTGCTTAACCATTGAAGGACATTTGGGTTATTTCCAGTTTTGAGTTATTATGAACAAAGCTGCAATGAATATGGTATACAGATTTTGTGTGAACATGTCTTCATTTCTCTGGTATAAAACCCCCAAGAGTTGGAATTTCTGAGTCATATGGAGGCACCGGAGCCGTTTTGCAGATTGCTACCATGTCCTTATCTAGAGTGGTTGTATCATTGTACTTCCCACCAGCAATGTGTGGAAGAGCCAACATCCTCTCTGCATCCTCTCTCCAGCATTAGTGTTATTACTATTTTTTTTTAAATCAGCCATTTTTGTAGGTGGATAGTGATGCCTAACTGTGGCTTTAATTTGCATTTTCTTAATGGCTAACAGTATTAGACATCTTTTCACACACTTATTTATCGACCATCTGTATAACCTCTCTGGTGATACAGATATCTATTTCAACTGCTACAAGGTACTTTTTGCTTCCTTCTTGATTCTCAATGGATTCCAAGGTGAAAGTAAATAGCTTACAAATAAATCATGAGTTACTGCACTTGAGTGTCAACTATATGCAAGATAATGTTCTGGGTATTAGGGGATAAAGCAGTGAAGAGAACAGACACAAATCTCTGCTTCCATGAAGCTTATATTCTAGTGAGGGAGATGGCCAGTAAATACAATAAATAAGTTAAACTCATAGCATATTAGATGGTCTTAGTGCTTTAGGAGAAAAAATAGAAAAGGGAGATTGGGAGTTAATCCTAGTCATAATTTAAAATAGGATGGTCAGAAAAGGCCACCTTTTCAGAGAGGAGACATTTGAGTGAAGACCTGAAGTGGGGGAAAGCCTTTTGGGTATCTCGTAGGAGACTGCCTCTGGCCTTGATGTGGGTGTGTTCTCGGAGAATCAGGGTGGCCAGGGTGGTGGGAACAGTGAGGAAGAGAGTGGGGGCTATGAGGTCAAAGCAGTATCACAGGAGGCTGATCATGAAGGGCCTTTAGGAATGGGTGGAATTTGGCTTCTTTTTCTGGGAGGTGGGGAGTGTCTGGAAGGTGTAGGCAGAAGGGTGGTAAGTTCTGATTTCACTGCAAAAGGATCATCCTGGCTGCTGGATTGAGAGTAGCTCGAGGAAAAGGGTGGAACAGGGGAGACCACTGCAGCAATCCACAAAAAATAGTGAATTCTGGATAAATTTTGATGTAGAGCAGATGTAATTTCTTAACAAGCTGGATGTGAGGTGAGAGAGAAAGAGAAAAGTCTGGATCCAAGGTTCTTGGTTAGAACGTTGGAAAGACAGGGATGCCATTAGTGGGGATAGGAAAGGAAGCTTGAGAGCTCTGATCAAGACATGTACCATTTACGGTGACTTTTAGATGGCCAAGTGGAGATGACATGTTGGGGAGGCAGCCGGATGAGTCTGGGGTCCCAGGGAGAGACCTGAGTGGAATATTAATTTGAGAATCTCTTTTGACACAGTGCTTATCACATAGTACTCCAAAGTGGAGGCTCCTCTCCATCACAGGTCCTGAGTTCCTTAATTCTAAATCCTTGGGGCCAGGTTTTAGAAAAGCATTAAGTTGAACCATATGAAATTACCATTATCTGACCATTTTTTACCTACAATAATAAATTCACATGGTTCACCCTAATAATACACTCTGTATGCCTTATATTACATAATACTCCCAGTAGGCCCAGAAAAGCACCCTATTATTAAACACAGAAATATTTCTGCAGCCTGGCATACTCATACTCAGTGGAATAGATAAGGACCACACACACACCTGCGCACAAACACACACGCCCTTTCAAGTCAGTTTTGTTGTCAAAGGAGTCATAATAGCTTTCAGATTTTTATAGCTTTTTGGACTTTGGATTGTGGATTTGTATTATCATCATTGGTGTTGTTATTATTATTTTACCATTTTGTGAGGCATCCAGAGAGTTGAAATAGACCAGAGAGTAGAAGGTACAGAGAGGCACATTTCAGCTCAGTTTTAAGACTATGTC